CATCGTGTATTCGAAAATGCATTGAAAAAAATATATGTTACTTTATTTATCTATTTTCTACTTCACCCATTACTCACTCAAATTATTCGACTCTTACTTCTTATCGCGTTAAACTTTTTGACAATATTGTCGCGAAATAATTACCTCGTATTCACGAAAATTGAGTAATTGCCAATTTTTCTAGCTTATTCAATGAACGAATTAAAAATACCCAGGCGATTCCGTTACATCATAACAAATTGCGTTTCAGCGGCAACGTGCTCGGCTATCAACCTTACAAATCGGGCCAGCCAGCGTGCGGCAGTTACGGAATGTCCTACAGCAACAGATATGCCGGACTATGTTGTGAGTGTTGTAACTAGTTTTTCACAATATTAAATTGAAAAAGTTCTGTTCGATTTTCTGGCTTCTTCAACTACGTAGAACTAGCCATGTTCTACGATAAAAATGTACGAATTTCTCCAGATGGCAAAATACCCCAGGGCTTAATTACGTATTTAATTACGATTTAGTAAAAAATAAAAATATTAAATAGTAAATACACATTTATTAAAATTAATACATTAAAATTAAGAAAATTTTTTTCTCAGTGTAGCGTCAACCGCGTTAAATACCGCGAATACGTGATATGCATTGAGATCTAAATAAAGATCGAAATGCTGATATCAGTATTTCTGCGACTCTATTGGATGTTATTTATTAAATTAATCCGTTTTCATATATGACTTAAAATATCTCTCTCAAGAATGGAACCGAACTTTTCGATTGACCCAATAACACCGTGTTTCTCTTGAATATTCACATTTTCCCCAAACGAACAGAGAAACATTGTATTATTTTCACCTTCGATCTTCCATAAAACTCGATCTGATTTCTTTGCTGAGAAAATAGGAAAGTACGACAGTCACGCAGTTGCAATGTGTGCCGCGCTATTTCTCATCTCGTAGATATCGCAGATATAATAGAAGAAACCGAGGCTAGGTACGCTATAATTTAGAATTTCAAAGTTACAACTTCTCAGTCAACTAATTGTTGTGACTAACTATATAAACATGATAAAAACAACTTTCTATGAATTAAAGCTCACCTGTATTTTGTTTTGTAATAACTAAAATTCAGGGAATTAGGAAGTAACTCATTATTAGTAACGAAGTTACAGTTACAGTTACATTTTTAGGGTAACTGTAACTTAACTTAGTTATTTATTTTTAGTAACTTGTAACTTTTTTAACAGTTACTTTAATAGTTACTTGGAGAATGTAAAATAAAATTAAAATTATACAGTAATCATATATTAATTTAATAACCCAAATAGAGAATTCAAAAAGAATTAAAAAAGAATCCAGTCGTATGTCATTAATTCTGAGTTTATTTTCAGATGCAAAAAGAATTCTTCAAAGTTTAGTTCAGTGAAAAGAATTCTTTTTGCATTAAAAAATAAACTCAGAATTGATGACATACGGCTGAATTCTCTTTAAATTTTCTATGCTATCTGGAAAATTTATCATCGTATTTATAGAGTATGTAACTCTTTTATCTCTACAAGGTTATCATTAAATTTTTATTATATTAAGTACAGATTTGAAATTTGTTAAGTGGATTGACTAATTAATGTGATAGATATTAATTATAAAATTGAGTTCTTACAGATTAGTAAAGCTTAAAATATAAGACTTTTGTATTTACAATAATAATTTCATATTATTTAAAAAAAGTAACGACTCGTTATTTTTTGAGTAACTGTAACTATAACGAGTTACTTTTCATAGCCAGTAACTTGTAACTGTGACTAATTACATTTTCAGCAAAGAAAACTATAACTAGTTATAACTGTAACTATAACTATATAACTATAACTAGTTACTTTTAAAAAATAATTTTCTTAATCCTGCTAAGATACAAACATGCAATAACGTAGCCATTTTGCCCTGGTACCGGTTCAGTTGCCTGATAGTACAAGATAAAGAAAAATAAAAAAATGTATAAAATATGTATCCTGATTAGAAGTTTCAGAATCTCCGCGAGAGGTCTTCACAACTCTCCTGCTGATCTTTAATTATGAGCCAATTACCTCGTTCTCTCATATACTCTATATCAGTCATTTTATGAATGAAAATTACATTTATTGTCAGAAACAATGATCATACACTTGCAAGAAATTTTATTCTAGCTACATCGCTTAATTTTATTCAATTACGATGGAGAATATTAATACAAAATTTCAAGAAACTCAAAAATTTATTTTGCTCTTACCAACTTTGGCAAAAAAAAATCTACAAACAACTACGTGATTTTACTACTAATTCACGCATTTCTACAGCAAAATAGAAAATATTACAAAATACTAGAAAATACTATGAAAACTGTAAATGTCGTAATAAACGTAGTTCCTTGTAAAAAATTCTACAATTTTTGAGAATATACATTAAACTTCTTCAACCAAGATGTAATTAATCGTACATTTTCATTAAAATTATAATTTGTAAATGTTGCAATAAGATGTAGTTTCGCGTAAGAAATTTCTACAACTTTGAGAATTGGAGAATTTGAGACTTTTGAGATTGCAATGAATTTCTGCAAGCAAGACGTAATTAATCATATATTGGCGTTAAAATTATAATTTTACAATCAATTACAACCTTTTAATCAGCACATTAACTATCTAAGTCTATTTAAGATTATTCTAAGGTTATTATTTCTATTATTTATCTAATGATTATTTCCATTATTAATTTAAGTCTATTTAAGATTACTATAGAAGTATTAAAAACCAATCGATTAAAATTACAACTTTAGTGTTAAATTACAACAATCAATATTAAAAATACGAAATGTGAGCAACGTAGGTAGTTGTTATTTCTTTTAAAAACATACAACTTATTATACATTATCAGAAATTTTGGAAACTTATAAGTTGTCATGTGGAAATAATTTGTCATAATAATTAATATTATCCAAAAATGGAATAACAAATTACAGCTTTCTACAATGATTTTGTAGCCAAAATCTGTTAAAAGATTACAATTGTTTACGATGTATTACAACGAACATTATACGTATAATTTAATTCGTATAACATTATACGTATAATGTTCGTTGTAATACATCGTAAATAGTTGTAATCTTTTAACAGATTTTGGCTATTACAAAATCATTGTAGAAAGCTGTAATTTGTTACACAGCTGTAAGCTGTGTATTGTATTTTTGGATATTACTAATTATTATAACAAATTATTTCCACATAACAACTTTTAAGTTTTCAAAATTTCTGATAATGCATAATAAGTTGTATATTTTTTACAAGAAATTACGCGTAACCACAACTTTCTACGTGTAATGAAACATAATTTCTACGTCACATAGTATACTCCTCTACAACAAATAGAGAAACCGCGCATTTTCTCGTGAATAATTGTAATCTTAACATGGTTTAGCATTAAAACTTTTTCTTTTCATATAGTATCTCTGATTTAGTTGTAATTTCCGCGTATTTTTTGTCGTAATTAGTTGTAGTTTGGCGGAGTTCTTACATAAAAAGTTGTAAAATTTTTTCCGCCAGGGAAATCAGTCTTTTCTACTTCTTAACTGTAATGTTATACCGATTTTAATGAAACTCAGAGAAAGGTATTTATATTCTAAAAGGATTGTTTCACGATTTTGCACTCACTATTTCTCTCAAGCTAAATACTAAGAAAAGCACATGAGCGACATACCTCATATAGCCTCATATTTCTTCTATTATAAATATTTCTCAGAAAAATTCGGATGTTACGCGTAATCAGACAAACTTTATCTCGCTATTTTCGCTTAAGTCGATATAACGCTCGCGACTTGATTTCCTTTACGAGCGAAGGCAGCCGGGGAGGGATATTACACTCTGTGAAGAAATTTCTTTCTCATTTGAATAATTTCCTTCTCCCGTTTCACGCTCGCTTTTTCGGCCGCCGCGCGCGCATGTATATTAATGAACATTACGTGATTACAGCGCGTGGAAGTTATTATCACCTGGGAGCGCTTTGTGTATACGGCTAGGCACACCGTTACAAGGTGCGAGTATTCGCGAAGAACATCGCCGGTTTCGGGACAAGCCGTGCCGGGAGAGCTCCCGGAGCTTGTCCGTCGCTTCTTTCCCGGTGCTGCTGAGGGATCCTCTTCATCCGGAGCACACACGCCAAATCACGATGTCGCGCAACTGTTGCCCACGCACGCCTCGTAAATCGAGGGTTGCCGCCGCGGTTGTGTGAAACGCGCGGAGACTTTTGTCAGTTCATTTATACAGCCTCGCCAGAGCCAGCTGCGCAAAGTAGTTCTGTCTAGAGAGAGAAAAAGAGGGAAAAGAGAAACGCACGTACGAGAGAGTTCGCGAGACGATGATCAGGGAACACGGCGGTCTTCCTTATCTGTTTGTTCTAGTTCAATCCGTCTAGTCTACTCATAGTTGATAGAAATTAGCGATTAAGAGGAAGCGCAACAGTTATCGAGTTTCGTGCTAATGCTCCCTCTGTTGTGAGAACGAGGATAGATAGAGCGTTCGAGATTAGTTCAGATTATTCTAACATGTTAAACGTAATGATATCGACAATGTATCGACAACCACTGTAGACATTCTGTATAAAAACAAATACACTGAGCTTCAATAAAGCCTTAACATTCATTAGACTAAAATTTGTTGTGATCTCCCTTATTCTTTCCTACATTTATTTTATATGGATATAATATTCAAAATTTTGTAATTTTTTATTCTACTTTCTTATTTTGTCATACGTTCTCTCACAAATCATATCTTCTTTTTCCTGAAGGAGTATTTTCTGTCAAAAAAGCGCCCGACTATTAATGACACATCGCTTGTGTACAAATGGAGTGTGTCAAAACTGAATAGAAAAGTCCTCTATCATTTTGCATTATCTATAATATAATTTTTAAGGAATTAATTTAAAAAAATATTAGCAAATAGATGTACGGGAAACGATAAAACAAATTTAACGTAATACCTGCCATTCCCAAAAGATTATCAACAACTTCAGACATCTTGAATAAGACTTTACCTAGAAAGTAAGTCTCACTCCGTATTACGTGATCTATTCGAAAATTTATTATAATTAATGTTTCAATAACTTGTCATGTTTGTTTGCAATATACTACAAGACATTTCCGTTCAGATGATAAATTCCGCTCACAGACGGATGTACACGCATTGTGACAGACACTTTCCGTATTGTAAATATTTAAAGTAAAGGGACACAATCAAAAATATATTTTTAACCTGTTTCACAGCAATATTATCATCCCCGATAGGAAAATTGCCCAAACATGCATAACAAGAGCATCATGAAATGAAATATAATTTTACAATAATTGCGCTGAAATGATTCGCTATAACGTTCTTTCTACAACGGTTTTTTCGAAATATAATTTCAAGATATTTGTTTGGAATGTTATTGTACACAATCATTACGATATTTAAAAAGAACACGATCTCCAATATTTCTCGCATAATGTAATGCTATAATCTTTTTAATATTTGCAACAATTTTACACAAAACACTTTAATTGAAATTATTAAATTAATTAAATGTTGGCTAATTTAAAGGAAAAAAGAGATTTTTAAGTGAATAGCACATAAAAATGTAAGTAAATTTTATATTTATGTATTTTTTATTTATAATAATATTCGAAAAATACGCGCGTACAAATACACACACATTTAAGTAACTTATATAACTCTTTTATTATATGCATATTTCTATTAAATAAACTAATGCATAAACATAAAACATTTATTAGAAAAATAAAAACACTAGTTTTTTCATATTTGTAAAATTGTGTATAATTGTGTAACAACCATTTTTAGATAATGAAGTAAATATATAGGATATATTTATATTCTACTTTATCATATTTCGAAGGTATTCAAAGTAGTAATAGTTATTGCTTCACTCTGTATATAACGAACGAATTATTTTAATTCTTTCAACAAAATTGTCTTTTCTCAATCCTCTGTTCATGTAAGACTAGCTACAATTTTAGTTTAACGAAGCAATCATAAGGCTGACCCAACACATTATTCCCTTATAGAAATATCATACTAAGAATCATTGATAATTACTTATTACCCAGTATTTTTAATACTGAAAATAAGTAATTATCAATGATTCTTAGTATGATATTTCTATAAGGGTTGTCGCATTTGTCGTGTCTGATTTATCTCTATTTATATCCCAGCAAAGGTAGAACGATTCATGTTGTGCAACTAAATCGACTATTTGGTAGTTAAAAAGGTATCTATAGAAAAGAGAAGGGTTAAATGCTCTATATTTTAGAATTTCGAGTTACAACTTCTCAGCCAACTGTTGTGACTGACTATATAAACATGATAGAGGCAATCTTCTTCTATATATTAATACCACGACCCTGTTAACCGTATACTTTGTTTCATAATAACCAAAACCAGGCTGTAACATAACCATCTTGCTTTGGTACCGGGCTTAGTCCAATAACGCAGGGTAAAGAAGATCACATATGAAATATGTATTCTGATTAGTAGTTCCAGAGTTTCCGCAAGAAGTCTCCACAGTCTTCCTACCGGCCTTTAATTATAAACCAACTTTACCTCGTCCTCCCATATACTCTATTTCAATCATTTTATGAATGAAAATTGCATTTATTATTAGAAATAATATATCACACTTGCTAGAAATTTCATTGTAGTCAGTGATACAACATTTAATTTTATTGTCACGATAAAGAATATTAATAGAAAATTTCGAGAAGCTCGAAAACTTTGCTCTTTGCAGTTTTTTCTATTTCTTAACTGTAATATTATTCCTATTTTAATGAAACTCAGGGAAAAGAATTTATATTCTAAAAGAATCACACACATTTCGCGATTTTGAATTTCTCCCTATTCCTCATCGTTCCTCACAAAATAAAAAAAAGCACATGAACAACATACCTCTGCACTGAGAGAAAAATGTATGATATTTGGAACTATAATGGCATAGTAAAAATATTATAGTTAGGAACATAATTTTTATAGTAAATGTTACCATAATATTTGTAATATTTACAATATAAGTATAGTATAACTGACTCGTGTAAAATTTTTACCAAGAATTATAATTATTTGAAATAAAAAATATTATAAGGTGGCAAATATTGAATGGTAAGAGAAATTAACTATTTTATATAGTCAATACGATTGGAATATTTGGCAAATATAGGTACATGTAACTATATTCCCGAAAGGTGTTTTACCATATATATATATATATATATATGGAGTAATAAGATGGTGACTATAAATCTGTGTTCATTCTACTATATCTTCATGTTTAGATGAACTATAAATATATGTTTGAGG